CTCGGACGAGTCGCTCGTTCCGTCGGCGGTCCTCGCTGGGCCGGTCCCGCACGCGCTCGCCGACCTCGTTGCCCGCTTTAGTGACGATCCCGCAGTCGCGCTCGCCGCCGCCGAGCTGTCAGCAGCCGCGGGCCTCACCCGCGCTCTGGCTGCCGGCGAGCTCCCTGCTCTCGCCGCACTCCTTGCCGACGACACGCCCGACGTCTTTGCGCTCGCGCTCACCGGCCTTGCCAAGGCGCAGTACGCCCACGGCGCGGCCGCACCGCTCTCGACTGGCCTTGCCGCCGCGCTTGCCGATCTTGCCGCCGCAGCCTCGGCCGACCTTGCTGCCGCTGCCTCCGGCGACGCCGCCGCCGCTGCCGCGCTCACGGTCGCCACTCCGGCGTACGGCGTGACTGCGGCGTTCGCCGATGCCGCCCGCGAGGTTGTCGGTGACATCTCGCTGGCCTCGGGCGCCTCGTTTGGCATGGCCCTTCCCAACGTCTTTGTCTCCCGCTCGCTCCCGCCCGCCGCCCGCGACCAGCTCTGCGCGTCGGCGTCGGCGCTCTCGGCCGAGCTGGCGCCGGCATCGATCGCCTGCGCGACGAGCCCTGCGCCGCACGCCACCGTCCTTGCTCCGCGCGCCACCTCGTTCGGAAACTCGACCACGCCCACGTACGACACCTCGCGCGCCGGCATCTGGCAGGCCGCCTTCTGGACCTCGATCTTCCTCCTCCTCGTCTTCCTCGCCGCCACCTGCGCCCTCTGCTGCATGTCCATCCCCAACGACCCCATCCTCTACCGCAACTCGCTCTCCAAGCTCGACTAAAGTTGCCACACTCTGATCTGAAGCTCGCCCCCCCTCTGAGCCACTGCCGTACACAATGCTTGCCACTTGTCGCACCACCACCCATTCGCCGGCCATGACCGCCTCCATGTTCCGCGAGGGCGAGGGCCTGTTCGACTTCACCCTCCTTGACGATGTCTCCCACCGTGGCTTCATGGACAACCTCGAGCTCCGTTTCCAGAAGGGTCTCATCTATGTACGCCCCCCTCTCCCCTCTCCCTCTCCCCATACCTCCCTGTCCACCATCACCTGCCCCTTCCCCTCCCCCTCCCTCCCCCCGCCGCACTGCCTCCCCAATTTTGCAGCTCACCCAGCGACCAGCAAGCGGCCAACCACCCACGCTCTCCGTCCCTCCTCCTTCCCTCCCTCCCCCCGCACCCTCCCCCCCTCTCCCTCCCCTCCCGCCCCCCTCCTTCCTCCTCCCACCGCACCCTCCCTCTTCTCTCCCCCCTCCCTCCCCCCCCCTCCCCCCACCTCCCCCTCTCGCCCCCGCTCTCCTCGCCTCCTCCGCCCACCCGTCATTCAATGCTTTGCCGACCGGCTGCATAACGGTGAAGGGGGCAATTTTTTCTGCCCTTTCGCCTACACCGCCTTTCCCCCTCCCTCCCTCCCCCCCCCCCTCCCCTTCCTCCTCCCTTCCTCTGCTGGAGAAGGGCAATGGATGTTAGTTGGCCTGGTTTGCAGTCTGCTGCCTTTGCCAAAGGTGGTCGCGCGGGGCAGGTGCGGATGGCGGCTTGACCTTATTTTGTTGAGCCTTTCACATTGTTCACGTGTAATCTCTGCTGGACAGCTTTTTTTTTCTCCACCCCACCTCGCCACTCACCCCCCTCCCGCCGACAGACCAATGTTGGCGAGCAAGTCGTGTCGGTTAACCCGTTCAAGCGCGACCTGCCTGTGGCGACTGTGTCGATGGATGACTATCGCAACAAGTTCATGTACGAGGTGCAGCCGCACGTGTACGCTCTCGCCGAGGACACGTTCCGGTCGATGATCAACTCGAAGCGCGACCAATGCGTGATCATCACAGGCGAGTCCGGAGCCGGGAAGACCGAGGCGTCGAAGATCTTCATGCGGTACATTGCGCACGTTTCTGCGGCGTCTGCCGAGGCCGACGCCATCAAGGAGCGGCTGCTGCAGTCGAACCCGATTCTGGAGGCGTTTGGCAACGCCAAGACGCTGCGCAACGACAACTCGTCGCGGTTCGGCAAGTACATGCAGCTTGATTTCGACTACGCCGGCACCCCGCTCGGCGGGCAGATCTCACAGTACCTGCTGGAAAAGTCGCGGGTGGTGACCCGGGCTGACGGCGAGCGCTCTTTCCACATCTTCTACCAGATCCTCTCGCAGCCGTCGCTCCTCTCGTCGCTCGGCCTGGTGGCAGACCCGAGCCAGTACCAGTACCTCTCGCTCTCGTCGTGCTACACCGTCAACACCATCAATGACGGTAAGGACTACAACGAGGTTGTGCAGGCCATGCAGACGCTTGGCTGGGCCCGCGCAGACTTTGGCTACGTCACTCAGATCCTCGCCGCCGTCCTTCACCTCGGCAACGTGCAGTACCGCGAGGACGTGGCCAAGTCGCAGCAGACCAACACCGACTGCGTCGAGATTGTCGACAAGTCTGCAGTCTCGGCCGTCGCCAAGCTGCTGCAGATCTCGCCAGCAGTGCTCAATGCGGCGCTCACGACCCGGACCATCACCACCGGCTTTGGTGCGCGCAAGAATGAGATCACCGTCCAGCTCGACCTCGCGCAGGCCGTCTTTACCCGCGACGCGCTGGCCAAGGAGCTCTACCACCGCGTCTTTGGTTGGGTTGTCGAGCGGCTCAACGACAAGCTCAAGGTGACCTCGGGCTACTCGCAGGTCCGCATCGGCGTCCTCGACATCTACGGATTTGAGATTTTCGAGGTCAACTCGTTTGAGCAGTTCTGCATCAACTACTGCAACGAGAAGCTCCAGCAGCTGTTCATCAACAACGTCCTCCGCTCCGAGCAGGAGGAGTACCTCCGTGAGGGCATCGAGTGGACCGAAATCGACTACTTTGACAACCAGCCCATCATCTCGCTCATCGAGGGCCAGCGCCGCATCGGCCTCATCCCGCTTCTCGACGAGGCTTGCCTCGTCGGCCAGTCGACCCCGCGCGACCTCGTCGACAAGTTCACCAACTCGTTCGGCACGCACGACCACTTTGACACCGCCTCGTCGTCGCGTGACCGCCACCTCGGCCCCTCGGACTTCCGCATCCACCACTACGCCGGCCAGGTCGTTTACTCGGCCGAACTCTTCCTCGAGAAGAACCGCGACCAGCTCAATGTCGACCTCATCCAGGCCTGCCTCGGCTCCAAGCACCGCCTCGTCACATACCTCTTCCGCGATGCAGACAAGCTGCTCAACAACAAGAAGCGGCCCGAGACCGCAGGCTTCCAGTTTAAGCGCGCCGTCTGTGATCTCATCTCCACCCTCCAGCAGTGCGAGCCGCACTACATCCGTTGCATCAAGTCGAACGACCTCAAGCGCGCCCTGTACATGAACCGCGAGCGCGTTGACCACCAGATCGTTTACCTCAACCTCGTCGAGACCGTCCGCGTCCGCAAAGCCGGCTTCTGCCAGCGCATGCACTTTGCAAACTTTCTTCGCCGCTACAAGCTCCTCACCACCTCGACCTGGCCCAACTGGTACGGCTCTGACTACGACGGCACCCTGCAGATCCTCAACGACCTCGGCATCGACCCGGCCGAGTACCGCATGGGCAAGACAAAGGTGTTCATCAAGGACGCCAAGCTCTTCCTCTATCTCGAGACCACCCGCGCCCAGGTCATGCCCGACATTGCCATCATCATCCAGAAAAACTGGCGCGCCTTTGCCACCCGCCGCTGGTACCTCTCGCACCGCGAGGAGCTCCGTCGCAAGCTCAAGTTCACCCGCGCCGCAGCCACCATCGTCCGTGCTTACATCAACTACCGCTGCCGCAACGACGTCTTTGCCGTCTGGCAGGCCTTTGGCTCGGCTGCCTCGGACCCGTACTTTGGCAAGTACACCCGCTGGCCCGAGCCCTGGGGCCGCTTCTCCGAGGCCTTTGCCTACTTTTACCAGATCTGGCACAAGTGGTGGGCCTACAAAATGGTCACCTCGCTCAACCCCGAGGAGCAGTACCGCATGCGCCAGAAAATCCTCGCCATGGACCTGTTCTCCGGCAAGAAGCCGTGGTCGCCCGGCCGCTCCTTTGACGCCAACTACCTCGAGTCGGACCCGGACTTTGTCCACGCTGTCCAGCTCCTCTTCCAGACATACGGCGACACCCGCGTCGCCTACGCCGCCCGCGTCGTCAAGATCAACCCCAAGCTCAAGCCACAGGTCCGCGTCCTCATCGTCACCGACCGCTCCATCTACAAGTACGACCCGGAAAAGTACGTCATCAAGAAGGAGCCCTCGCCCATCTCACAGGTCAAGGAAGTCGCCGTCTCACCCGCTGCAGACACCGTCGTCGTCATCCGCATGGAGTCGCCGCTCCGCGACTTTGTCGTCGACGTCGGCCTCTCCGGTCAGGAGCACGTCTCCGAGCTCGTCACCGTCCTCTACGAGTCGCTCGACCAGTCCGGCAAGGTCATGCCCGTCAAGTTTGAGCAGGCCCTCCGCTTCAACAACTCGCGCGTGGCCGATCCCAAGAACCCGTCCGCCATCAAGAAGCCCGGCAAGGATCTCGTCTGCACCATCGCCCCGCGCAACGCCTCCCACGCCTCCAAGCCGCCCGGCACAGTCTTTGCCAAGGCCAAGGGCGGCGGCCTCCTCGCCTTCTTCCAGCCGTAGTCCTCCACTCCTCACAAACCTCCCCCC